CATAACTGATGAAGAATACAATTCTGTACATTTTGTGTTATAAAACAGCATCAGCCATCTTATGCGTGAACTTGTAAAATGGAATTGATACAGTCAAAAAGGTGTTCTTAATGGAGCTTAATTTTTATGGGACAAGGGGGAGAGTTAGTCTCATATGGTACAGGGTTTTTTTGAACTAAATTTTGCAGCAAGCCTATAGAACATTTGCTTGGGAGTATACCCAAGTGAACTCAGTGTGGTGGGTGCACCTGTCAACTATTAAACTGAAATGGCTCACAGTCATTTAAACCTAACAGGTCAGCTGCAGACCTGCACTTCTCAACTGTTAGGTTTAAATGGCCTGAACAGCTGGACAGAATGGACAAAAGACTGGTAAATATTCGGGGAAGGCGCCTTCCCCAAACATTGGTTTGGCGGCTCTCAACCAGGCCAGCTTCATGCTGAATTTTGGCTCATGGACCAGTTTGTGCCAGTCCCTAGTTGTAAATGCCATGGATACCTCTCCCAAAGGAAAATATTGATACAATTGTATAATCGTATTAATATTCCTTTTCTTTTTTGGCTTTGTGATTTTATCATTGCATACCTGTAAGGTAACTTGTAACAACAACAAAAAAAAGTGACCTGAAAACCACAGTAAATATTTTATGTGCATCAGTTTGACCAAAGTCCACAATACAAAACTACAATATGGCAAACTGACAACAGAACAATGTAACTTAGAACCACAATGTGTGGAAAAATTTGGAGGGGAATAATTTCATATGTATCCTTTATATCACTGTGTTGAAATGGTAATGATGAATAGTAACATGTTCCAAACTGAAAGTGATACATTTCCATGTGATTGTGTGGTCCTGGTTGAGAACTTTACCTGTGATGTGTTCATCTTTACATGAAAGATGCAGTTGCTTCCCTTTCTGTTCCAGCACAAAGATAACATCATACATGACAGAACCACCCCATGTAGAGATATGATCTCCCTCCCTTTTCTGTGGGAAGGGGAATATGCATGCCCCTCCACTACATTTTCACCTGAGTAAGTATCTGACCTGAATGATGGAGTCAGGTAAACTTTCCAGGTGTAGTATGAAATGTTCTGATAAAATTCAAAGCATATTTGATTATATATAATCTTACCCCCTCCTTCTGAATAGATACATCTGAAGTGATCCGCATGACTTAAGAATCATAGCCTCCACTGAATACACCATGTCCTTCAATCCTGAGCTCCCTACCCACTCCCATGTGTACAAAGAATTCCTATGTAAGTGAAGAGAATGGGGAAATCCTTTGTAGCCAAAGCAGCTCTCTTTGTGTACATTATTGTTCCCAGGAATCACTGTATTAGAACACAACTTTCTCTGGGTGAGATGAGGATTTAGGGAAAGAAAGCAGCAAATTGGTCTTGAAACCATTTACAACATATTATGAGAGTGGTCCAGCCTGTGTATAATATTGTTAATATAAAAAACATAGACGGCCATATTTAAGTATTTTATACAAATTACTAGAGAAAATTCACTGTGTTTATTCATCACATGTAAAGGGGGACAGGGCCCCTGTACTCTTGATAGTTGAACATAGGAGGGAATTGCGGAAGGCACAACCTTATTCTGCAGAGTGTACAACCATGCCCTTCTTTGCATATGGTCAAACTATTCATCAGTGGTTGCAATAACCAGTTCTTTAAAAAAAAACACTAAGATATATATCTTATCTCTGACAGTAAATTAGTAAACACTGCTGACAGTGAAAGTTTCACACATTGCAATATATTACTACTGAATGCTTGGATTAATGTCAGTGCATTGTCACTTGGTTTTTGTGGGATAAATGATCATTTGCATTCAGTATATAAAGCTGTTTTACATAATGAGTTACAAACTGAGTGCAGGTTTGACTTTTGGTACCCATTTGGCCTTTCCTTTAAACTACATTTACAAAGGAAGAAGCAAGCATCAGCCATGTAAGATGTTGAAGAAAACTACCATAAAATCCTTATTGGGAACAGAAATGTAGATTGCACCACAGCAGGCACTACTATTAAGACATTCAGGTTTATGAAAAGGCTAAAACAAGTACATTTACTCATACCTTCCAACATTTCACAGATGAAAAAAGACACACTCTTCTGTAATACTCATAATGCCCTTAATCATAAACCAGTGTGCACATGCACATACACACTATTTTACACATGGCTCTTCACCCTGTTTATGCTGTGTGAATTTACTCTGCCATAGCCTGACTTATTCTGACTTCTGAAGTAGATGTGTTAGTAAACTGACTGTTCCCATTTTCCTTAAAACAATGAAAATCTATGAGTGTTTAATGCGGTGTTTACTTTTACTATGGATCTAGTTGGACTCACTGATAGCAACACATTTAGCAACATTTGCTACCCTGACCAAGAAGTTGGGTGAGAGGTGATGGAGTAGTGCACTGGCATTTTGACAACTAAGAATTAAAAACTACAGCCCAGGTGTGGTCAGGACATACAGTGCAGTCCTAAGCATAATTACACTCTTCTGAGCCTATTTATATATTTAATTATTTATTTATTATTTTGATTTACAGCCCGTCCTCCCCACAAGCGGGCTTAACTTCAAAGGACCAAGAAGGGTGTAACTCTGCTTAGAATTGCACATTTAGGCAAAATAAAATTGTTTTAAAGAAACTGACATAAAATACATTTTATGCTTGTAAAGTTTAAAATGAACTCGCCAACCGTAGTGTGTGCAATTCAGACAGTCCACTAGATGATGCATTTGTGTCCATAATGCCTGTCCAATAGCAAATACCCACCATTTATTTCTGCCTTAAAAAAACCTATTTCCGGTAAGTTATTAACAGTGACATTTGAAGCAGTCACACCCCTCTAAGCTTGTTGATGTTAATGGGTTTAGAAGGGTATAACTCTGCTTATGATTGCACTGCCACCCAAACATTAGATACTATAAATGTAACGGGACTTAGCCAGTGCTTTGATAATAAAGATAATTTTTAAAGGGTCAGAATATCCAGTGCTAAAAGGCATTTGATAACATAGTGATTCAGTTAGGAGTATATTTGAGGAGACAATAAAAATTAAATTGTTTGTTAAATCATTTCTGAATTTTGCATACAGTTGAACAAATTGGTAATTACATGACAACTCCCTATTGAAGACACAGGTAGATATTTACAAGATCAAAACTGATTAACTTGCACCATTTTGCCATTCTGTCCCTGCTCCCTCCCGACCTTAACCCATCCAAGAAATACCAAGAGCTAGTAAAAGACTATTGACATGTTGGAAATGAAATGTACATCAAGAACTTGTATATTAAAAGGACTCTTGGGGATCTTCTGCACATAGAAACTCATGGCGCTTTCCCTGTCAATGATCTGGCCATCCATTGTCATGGTTAATGGCTAGGTTTTGCTGCCAAGTCAATATTATCTTAAAAGAACAGTGTTTTACTTTCCCCCTTGGGAATGACTAACAACCATTCACCTAGATGAGAGAAAGAGGTATACTTTTGAGGTAGAGACGACATATGTTTCTTGCAATCAGTGCCCCAGCAATTGAATCAAACTCCTCTCCTGTCAGGTTCCCAGTCAAATCACTCTCCACACATACTTTCTTTGATGAAAGTTTTATTAGAAGATATGAGATGTTCAGGGATCAAACTCTTTGTCAGAACTGGGGTGCCAAGGCGAGAAAGTTGCATATAGTTACAATCCCACATTCCATTGATACACGTCAGTACTACTACAAAGACCATGAGAGATATACGGCCCTTAACTAGCTAAACATAGACTCTTCTCCAAGGACACATTCCATGTGAAAGACATCTCTTGGGGCAGCTTGGAAGATTTACTGAAGTTAGCTTCCCTACTCCTACATACACTCACTCCCACCCTCAGGAATGTGATGGCAGGCGAGTGTAAGTTATAAGAACTATAGTAGCACAAGCGGGGGAAGGGAACAGGAAAACATTACAGCAATCTAGAAGGCAGGAATACAACAGGTTCAGCTGATTAGGAGCCCGAGCCTGACAATACCCCCGTCCATGATTATTTGCTGAAGTGTGACTGAATTTTGGGAGAATGGAGCAGACGATTAAAAACTGGTGGTTAGAAAGATGAATGAGTAGATGGAGTCGAGTTTCTACAACACATAGAAGTAAGGGGAAAAAACACAACTCACACTGCTTTCCTGCCATCTGTCTCTATTTAAATAATGTCAAAAGAGGGCCCTGGATATCTTCGTCGTCATAATCTGCAATGTGGATGAAATACACTCCTACTACTCAAAATTACTGCAGAAGCAGAAAAGGAAAAATAACTCCTTTTCTTGTGTTTCTGTATAATATTAGAAACCATCCTGTAGTAACAGAGGCAGAACAGAAAACTGAGCTTCTTCAGTGTTTATCTAGTGTTCTGTGAAATGGTACAAGGATGCTTTTGTTTGTTTATAAAGTGCATGGTAGGATCAGGAAAGTTCATCTATTAAATGATCAAAGCTTTTCTCAATGAACAAAAAAAAAAAAACCCAAAAGGAATTCGAAAGAAGAAAGACACGTTAGATGACCTTCTTAAAAATCAAGACTTTTGCTGCCACCACTTTGCTTTCATTTTGATGTGATAATTATGATTCTGAAACATTCATTTGTCCTGTCATCCAAAATGATTTTTTTTATGTTGGTGTAGGGTCTAGGGAGAACTAGTATTCCAGGACCAATGAAGAACAGTAAACTAAAACGGTAAATGCTGACATCTGATCAAGTTTCTTTATTTTTAATGCCGCATATTATATGATTTTATTCTTTTGAAGTGTGTTTATTTTCTGTTTACTGCATAATTTCCCATAGGTGCTTTATTTCAGTAAGCCTTTTTTTAAAAGTGTCATTATTTCTTTTCTAAACAATGCTTGCATGCCATTAAACACTTTAATACAAAACTGTATTAATTCTCATTGCTGTATTCATGTTTGTTTATTGTCTTGGATACAGGTGAATCTGGTGTTGAAGAGTGGGCCCAGTGGAGTACATGTTCAGTTACTTGTGGTCAAGGGTCGCAGGTGCGAACCAGAACTTGTGTATCACCTTACGGGACACACTGCAGCGGCCCTTTAAGAGAATCAAGGGTTTGCAATAACACTGCCCTCTGTCCAGGTAGTGTTAGCAGCCAATAAATGAAACTGTGGATGTTATTGAACTGTTTGATTCTAAGTATTTGAAACACTAGTGTTTAAAGATATGGCTAGCACACAGGCATTTTGATTAGAATAAGTGAGTGCAATTATCATTCATCTGTTACATCTTTCCCCCTGTATTATTGCTTTTGGAACTGTCAGTGAGCTGTAAGAGGGTATTTTCTCTTGTGAACTCTGGAAATTTAAAGAAAATGTCTCCTTTATCACTCATGTCACTGTTATTTTGACAGTGCCTTGCTTCCTTTTATCACTTACTTTATTTTTTTTACTGGGTTTCATGACCAGCAAATTAATCAGATACTGAGAAGATCTGAACAGAGAAGGGTTGTTGGGCACCTCTGTTTCATGTTGAGATAAGTGACCTGTAAACTATCATTATCTTGGAAAACTGAAGATGGATGAAATTCTCAATTTATTATAATTAGTTACATGACACTTGTATGACTAAAACACCCTAGGATTCTTTCCCTGGATAACAGTGTGGTTTGTTGTGCATAATAATTCTGAATCTACCACTCATGAAGAACATTTAATCAAAGGCCAATTCACATTCCCAATGCAGAGTGGCCACTGGAAAAATGCCCATGTTGGCTGCAATTCAAGGTAAGGTGGTTGTGTGAAGCCCTTTACCAGATGGTGTTGCTTTAGAGCACTCTGTCAGCAGAGGGTTCGGAGGAAGGAGGGTCCACTTGCCTGTTCAGGAGTGGGATTCATAAATTGCATTTCTGTTTTTATGATATTATGAAGCAGCCTTATAGCAAGTCAGACAATTACTCCATCTAGCTCACCGTTTTCCGCTCTGAGTCTACTACCATGGAGGAAGAGCTTTCCCAGTTCCTGCTGCTTTAAATCCTTTATCTGGAAATGCTGGGAATTGAACTTGGGACCTTCTGCCAGGCAATTGTGCATTGAGCTATGGCCTCTCAGTGCTATCCCCCCAACATATACATTTAAAGGGTGTGGCCAGACAGATGGTTATTACACTTCCATCTTAAAAGTAGTAGTGGATAGTTGTTGATTAATTTTTATATATAGCTATATCTCAGAGAGTATAGCCACACTGGTCTTGTACTATACCCAATTCCTTCCCTCAGGAAGGAATGATTCTCAAAGGATACAGATGTTCATCACTCTCTCTTTCACCTTCCACAGCTTCCATGAGACTGGAAAATCTGAAACTATTATGGTTGGTGCAGATGTAATGGTCTCTTCTTTCTAAGAAATAGACAGCCAACCCTGGGAAGATGTGCTGATGTTCTCACCCTTTTCTCTCTCAAGGGCAAAGATACATCCCTCTCTCTTTAACTAGGGTTAAGAGAAATGTCAACACCGTCCATAACCATGCATGCACATGGATTTTCTGCTGTCAAATTGCAATGGCATTTTTCAGTACATTCACATACTTGAAGGAGTACTTCCTCCAATATAGTCCAGCCCACCCGTTTCCTGCCTCACAAGGGTTGCGGTCACACACGTGAGATAATGTGGAGGGGAAGCGAGGCTATTTACCCCAGAGGAAATTGACCTGCAGTTGCATGATCACACAGTTCTTTGAAGCTGCGGGGATAGCTCGCCACTGCGTGATCAGATGCAATTGTGGGTGAGTTGGGAGGGGGTTTGCCGTTAGTTTTCAATTCACTTAAATGGAGGATCAATGAATCGCATCTCAACACTGAGGGCTTCTTACGGCAGTATCCGATGAGGCGCATACTGAGAAGGGGGGAAAACAGTGGCACGGAGTCGGAATGGCCTGATCAGACCATCCCGACACCATGAGAACTCGCTGGAGTGATCACACAGGGGAAAGTCCATCTGTGGCCCGTAGCAACCCGTTTGCTACTGGATTTCCCCAGTGTCTTTCTACTTCACTTCTGCGGTGGAGCAAAACAGGTTGCCGATGGGTGCAGGATGCTGGGCAGATGTTTGCGTCTAATCGAGCCCCTTAAATCTGCCTGGCATTTGTGCCTATGGCGCGGCTAATTGTGCATGTGATCGCACCCAAGGCCGGTTTTCTGTGTCCCTGCCTTCAGAGGAAAGGTGTTTTTTTAATGCTGGGTTTTAATTTATAACTTTTAATGTTATGTTTTACCGTGCTATTTCATAAGCTGACTCAGGCAGGTTTCCCAGGAGAAATTACATAAAACTTTCCATAAATAAATAATCCATATGACAGTGTCCTTCAGTTGTCCACTTTCTAAAGTTTCCTCTCACTTTGCTGTGATATTTTCTGAAATATTGCAGTCTAAGCTGGTTTTCACATTGCATGGATGGGAAGATGCACATTTTCAAACCTCTCATCCCCAGTGCTACAGTTTTACTGCTGCCAACTCTTAATGGTTGCCATTCCCTCCCCTCTGCCACCAGTGGGCTTTTTGCCAGCTTGATAGTTGCTATATTGCTATAGCATTATAACATTATACAATATAACAGCTACTGTTGTTTTTTTTAAAAAAAGCCTGCAAAAAGCTCTCCAGTGATGCAGGAGAAGGGACTACAAAGGAATGACCTATGCAAGTGTGGAGAAAGCTGCTATGTGGATGCTCTGTTGCCACTACAACTTCCAGAGACAATGAACTCCCTACAGAGAAGTATTGCTGTGTGGATGCAGCCATAGCTCACAGTAATTAAGGGACCCGTTTAAGCAGGAACTGAGACTGCTGTTTAATGCTAAGATCAGATCCTGGTTTTTAAACAGGAATCTTGGTTACCACTTAGGTAGGAGAAGAACTTAATTCATATGAATGGGGTAAGCTGGAGGAGAGTTATATTCCTGAAGCTCCTGATCTCTTTAACATTGCCCTCTGAAGGCAGAAGCGACTGCCACTGAGCATAAATTTCTATACTGAAGTGAAAGGAACGATTTAACATGGAATATTTTTTCTAAGTAAGCAATTAGCTTTCTTAAGAGTTACTATCCATAGCTGCTGCCATTATGTAGGGATGTTTTTTTCCTATGCCTGCATATGTTCTGTTTAGCACTAAATCAGAAATCTGCTGTAGAAAAATGACTTTAAAATGTCAGCATTTCATTTTTAGTGCTGAAATTAGTAACGGAAAATCAAAATGTATTCACCAATTATCCGCAAGTGGCTTCAAAAGAAATGGTTGGCTTGAGAATTTCAGTAGCTGGAAAGTACAGGTTTTATTCCTATTATAGATTTCTTTTATTTATCCATAACCTTCTGTTCCGTTTTCTTGCGTTTTGCTCCTGCTGTACAATTTTATCCCAGTCTCTATACTAGTCTGTTCTAGAACATTCAAGATTATGCAGTCAGAGTAAATGTCATCAAATTTATATAATTTTAATCTTTCATATAATGTACTTTTAGCATAACATTGTTATTTTATTTCATAGAATCTGGATTCCCTGTTGTCAGAGAATTCATATGCCCTGCTATAAATGAGGGATGACCCAGGCAAGATGCTGGCAATTCCACATATGGAGCTCCCTTTTTTAAAAAAAATTCAATTAATAGAAGCGTGGTGGCCCAATTCAAATTGGCACTATGTGTGAGGGAAGGGAGGACAAGCCTTCCCCCATGCCATTTTCCTGTTATAAAACAGTCCCAGGAAGCCACTACTTCCTTTGTTGGGGCAAACACGTGAGTACCCACATGTATCGGTACCCACATGTTTGCCTCATTGGGGCAAACATTGACTCCCCAAAGTAGTTTTAGATCAGGCAAATTGTCTGAAAGACCTAAATCCCAGATCCCTTGTGCCCAGTGTTCCCTCTAACCTGAGTTAGTGTGAGTTAGCTCACAGTTTTTTAGCCTCTGGCTTACACATTTTTGTCTTAGCTCAGGAAGAATGGCTCCAGAGCAAACTAATTTATGCAGTAGCCAAATCAGTCACTCACAACTTTAATGCCAGTCATTTTTGCTCACAAGACTCCACCGTTTAGAGGGAACATTGCATGCCATAGTCCCAATCTAAACTGGGCGTCTATGTACTTTGTAATTATTTTTTTTAATGTTTTTGTACTCCAAATGTGAGACTTTTAGTATTTGATCTGGTTTGGCCCTGAGTGTTTCACATGCAAGTACAGAACAGAGTTCAATCAGCTACCACTGTGTCTTTAGCATAGGAAAATATGGTCTAGTACAAGAGTTGCTGTGGCACTTTTTGAGTTAGACACTGAAGACAAATCTCAGTATATCTTGCACAGGATTCAGGGGTTTCTTCCTCAAATGTAATTTAGTGCATCGTCATAATTTAGTAGTTGCACCAACCAAAGAGTTTGATCGTTTAACAGAATATTTATTTACTTACTATTTACATAATTTATATCCCACTTTTCTCTCCAATGGGGACTCAAAGTAGCTTATTACTTTCCTCCATATTGTCATTACAACAACCTTCTGAGGTAGGTTAGGCTGACAGTGTGTGAGACTGACCCAGGGTCATCCAGCAAGCTTCCATGGCAAAGTGGGGATTTAAATCTGAGATTCCCAGATCCTCTAGCCGCCACACTGCACTGAATAATTGACATGCATTGGCCAGGTGCTTCTTGGAAGCATTGTTGTTACTCTTCTTTAAAATTTTCAGGCTGAATCAATTCGTATCTTGGGGGGGTTGGGGGTGATTCCATTCCCCCCCATTATTCTCTGTGGGGAAACTTTCTCAAGGTTGGAGGGACTGTTTTTAAAGCTACTGGCACCAACATTGCAGTGGAGCTGCTGATGCCTGTCCTTTAAGTAACCCCCAAATTTCAAGTGAATTGGACCAAGAAGTCCGGTTCTGCTGACCTCTGAACAAGGTGCTACCAGCCATCCTCCATTCATTCCTATAAGAAAACAAATGTAAAACATGAGAATCCATGCCAATGTACAACCCAGGAATCGCCTGAGCCAAGCAGAATTGGAACTCTGTTACAAAATTGAGAATCTACAGCAATGTCAAACCCAAGAATTCACAGCAAAAAAGCAAAGCTGACACAAAGCAACTCAAATGAATAAT